TGAAAACAGATAAGAATATAACTCACCAAACATGTGGTCTGATGTAGTAAAGATTTATGTTTTGCAGGTTCAGGTAGCAATCGTGGTACCCGATGAGAAGACATGAGCACAAGGACAAGAATTAGATAGTAGGATATTATTTATGTACATTCCTTGTTGTTCGTTTTATAGATAGGTTTGACTGTAAACCCATGATTAACCTGTGATTTAAATTGTTTTAATTTTAGTAGAATTCCACAATTGTAAGAAAAACTATGATATTTCCCTTAGATATTTGTATAGAAAATTTAGGTCGTTAAAATTGGTATCAGATCCATAGTTTAAGTGAATTAGGTTTGGTATATCCATTGCTAGTCTTAAATTGTGTAACATATATGAGAAGAAGAGAGTATGAGTTGGTTTTATGATAAACCATGCTAAGAGATCAACATGGTTGAAGATATGTGAAGATAAAGAACATGAAAGTTGAGATAAGAAGATTGATCAAGCTTGAAGGTTTGGGTCTAATATGTTGAAAAGAAAGAAAGAATGGTCATTTGTTAAATTACATAAGAATGGGCTCTCTAGTTAAAGAGATGCCAAAAGTATATAGAAAAAAATGATATTGTGGTATCATGAAAGAAAGATGTGGTAGAGATGATGTGTCCTAGTAGATGAACAATAAATAGAGTATGTGTCCCAAATAAGAAAAGTTGGTAGAGACTTAGAGAGAATGTGGTAAAAAAGAAGGACAAAACAATATGAAGATAGAAAAAAAGGACAGAAAGAGTAGAAATAGTAAGAGGACTGATATACCCAAAGAAAGAAAAAAAAGATAAAGAGAGTCTATCTTAGAAAGAGTCAAAGTGTCAAAGAAGTGTACCGATGGGTACTAGAGTAAATTGGTATTTTTTGCAAGCAAGTAGCCATATAGAGAAGAATGTACATGGTTGAATGGAAAGTGTATGAGATGTGGTAGAGATGATGTGTCCTAATACATGGACAACAAATATATTTTTGACAAAATTGCAAAAATGGTCTCTATGGTTGTCAAAATTATGTGGTTTTGGTACAAAAAGGTTTGGTGGTGCATCGGTGGTCCAGTTTTGGATACCTTCTGGTGTTTTGGTCCCTATAGTTGGTACTTTTGTGTCGTTTTGGTCCATAATGTAACACTCATAAAAGACAAAATTGCAAAAATGGTCCCTGTGGTATGCATTTTTTGGGGGTTTTAGTCTAAACCACGACTTTTTTGGATTGGTGGTCCTTTTAAGCTAGTTTTTGGTCCCTCCGAACAGTGAAATGACTGTAATACCCTTGGGGTATTTATTTTCCATTTTTCTTTCATTTCTTTTTAAATCTAATACTAATTTATTTATTTTAATAATTAAAAAAATAAGAAGGGGCCCACCCTCTCTCTCTATCTCTCTCTCTCTCTCTCTCTCTTCAGTTTCAATACCCAAAGATACAATCCACCATCATCTTCTTCACGACCCTTGTCTTCTTCAAATCGCAACTCTTCACCACCATATCTCCTTCCAGCCATCAAAAATCAACCACCAACACCAACTCCTAATCACCATCAGCTCCTCACCGCCACTTTATCACATATCTAGAATGCCGATCACCTTTGTCGATCGTCGCCGCCTCGACAGCTCCGATGACAAGCCCTATGACAGCCTCACCAGCCGCTGTCGTTCATGTTGCAGATTCGGTGTGTTCCCCACCCGATCTCGTCTCCTCCAGAAGAAGTCCACGCTTCATCTCTTCCTCCGTTTTCGTGGAGGTATGCAGATCTTCGTTAAGACCCTTATAGGGAAGACAATCACCATGGAGGTTGAGAGCTCTGACACCGTTGATAACGTTAAAACCAAAATTCAAGATAAGGAGGGGATTCCACCTGATCAACAGAGGTTGATCTTTGCACGGAAGCAATTGGAAGATGGGAGAACTTTGGTTGATTATAACATCCAGAAGGAGTCTAGTTTGCACCTTGTTCTTCATCTTCGTGGTGGCGATCTCTATAAGTTGAACTAGATAGCTCTGTTGGTGTTCTTTTGATATGGGTGTTGACTGATTTTAGTGGGATACTATAATAGAACGATTTTACCCTGTTTTCAATGCTTGATGTGATTGGTGTTTATTATCTTATCTTCTATACATGAATGTTGTTGGTTATTAAGTATTTTCATGTTATAATGTTAAAAGGTGAGGGAGAAAGGCAAAGTTAGGTGTATGCGTGTGTTTATGAGAGAGAGAGGTCCCATATTTTTTATTAATAAAACTTTAAATTAAATAGAAAAAAAACATATACAATATACCAGAAGGGTATTTTAGTCTTTTTAGTTTAGTGAAGGACCAAAATCACAAGCAAACTACCTAAAAAGGAGTACCAATCCAAAAAAGTCGTGGTTTTGACTAAAACCCCAAAAAAATGCATACCATTGGGCCCAAACTCCTTATTGGGCCTTATCCTAAGGTCCAACACTCCAATTATCCCAAAACACTCTTACTCAGATAGTCCAATAAGGGCCCAAACATTCAAGCCCAAAAGGTGGCCCAACACTTGAAGCCGAAAGTACGAAACCCAACAAAAGGCATACGCAGGACGTACTCCTTCAGTACGTAGGGCGTACACCGATCCTCGCCTTGACCCACTATGGGGTGGCTGACCGAGTATGTGGGGCGTACTCCCCCTTATGTGTGGCGTACCCTCGCAGAGTCCAAAAATCCATTAAGTGCTTAATGGCTTAAGCACTTAAGCCCATACTACAGATCCATGGTCCGAATGTACCTTAGAGTCATAAAGACTCCAACTTTATGACTTTAGACGTCCAAAAAGTCCTTAATACATGTTCTTAATCCATTAAGACCTCCCACAAGAAGCATTGAGCCAAACTAGCTAAAGGGACCTCATTTTTATGACTTAGAACCCTTCCTAGGGTCTGAAAGGACAGCCCAAAACGTCCAACACCAAACATGCACCACAATGGGACTTTTAGGGACAAAAGAACACCATAAAGCGACTAAGATGAGATCTAAGCAAACCAAGCATAAAGGTAGAAGCTTTTTACCTTCTGGAGCTTCCCAAGAAGATGAAGACCCAAGATCCATAAGCTTGATTTCCCTTCTAGACTCCTTGCTGCACTTCCTTCTCCTTTAAGCACACAAACAACACACTTTAAGCTCCAAAACACTCTCTTATGGGGTTAGGGTTTGCTAAGGACGACACAAAGGCTTGGAGGCTGAAAGGATGAGGCAAAATGATCCATAAAGGTGCTTAAATACTCCTCAAACCCTAAAAATTAGGGTTTCACCCGGACATTAGTACGCCCAACGTACATATGTGTACGCCTAGCGTACTAGGGCGCGCCCTAATACGCTTAGCGTACTCACATGTACGCCCAGCGTACTGATCCAACTCCCATAATTACCAATTTACACTAGGGCTTCTTAAGGCTGCATCTTCATAATCCAAGGACCAAAACTGTCATAATTAAAACCCAACGAGAGATTTCAAAAATACCTGAAACTCGGGATGTTACACATACCCAACCTAAAATGACAAATATACCCTTAAAATAGTTTTTCTCTATTTCTTTTAATTGAATTCTTATTATTTTAATTAAAAACCAATATATATATATATATATATATATATATATATATATATATATATATATATATATATATATATAGATATATTATCTTCCTTTCATTGGATATCGTAGCATGATCATCATTTTTTGCTTTTTCTTTCTTCTTTCTAAAACTCACACATTTCTTTTCTTTCTTTTTTCTGGTTTATAACTCTCGCACAACACACACAACACGTTCTTTTTTTTCTAACTTTCTTCCCTCGGTTTATCATACACACACATGTAGATTTCTTTCTTGATCCCGTACCCTTTTTCCATAACGAAGACCCCCTTCTTTTGGTTCATCATCATCGGTGATGAAAACGAAGACATAAAGAGATCGAATCATGGTGATTTTTTTTGAGGAACTGAATAGGGTAATGAGTTCTGTCAAGATGGCTCTGTTTGGTCAATTTCTATATTCGATTTCACCTGGGTTTTCATTGATTTCACTGTATGTATGTGTGTGTTTTTTCATTTCTAGAAATCTATTTGTATGTAGGTCTTCATCCCAGAAATCGATTTGCATTTGCACTGGCGATTAGAACATCTTTCAGGTCACGTTTTGTAACACACTACACCATTTCTTTCTAGATTTCCATGTTTTGAAACTCAATTCCACCATTTCCAACCAAATCTTCGTACAAATATGAAAGCATTATAGTCTCGAATTGCTTCAATTTATGCTTAAAGTTGACTATGTCTTTAGTCACCGGAGAGAGGGAGTTGTACATGGTGGTGCAACTATTATCTGCAAAGGAATCTGGCAAAAAGATGAGGATTGGTGGTGTGTTGGTTGGTGGTCAAGTTTCATCAAATAATGACGAGAATTTTGCTCTGGTTAGACCGATAATGGTGAAGCTACTAGAAATCGATTTAAGCAATTTTTCCCACTTTTAAGTGATGAAATTATAAATTAGGTTACAAATGAAAGTAGTCGTGTTAATGGAATTATAAATTAGGTTACAAATGAAACGAGTTGGTTGGACCATTTATGCATTATCAAACTTTTTTGGATTAAAACCATATAATTTTTATATTTTTGTCTATATTTTTTAATTTCCAAGACCTTTTATTTTATTGAGAATTAAATTTCAAAAATTTTAATTTTTTAATGAGAATTAGGGATGTCAACGGGACCAAACGGGAGCGGAAATAGCTGCCCCCGCCCCGAAATCAGTTGTTGACCCCGCCCCCCGGATCCCCCGTTTACACAGCCCCAGGTTATCTCCATCGCCCCTGGTCCCGCCCCCGTTCCCTTGGTTTATAGGCTTAAAATTGAATTTTTTTGCTAAACAACTGTTTTGTTTTAGGCAAAAAAAGACTATTTTTAATAACTTTAAAAGCTTAAAACCTAATCTTTTAGAAACTAAAAAATTAAAAATCCAACATTACGAATCCAACATTACAAAACGACAATTCCAACAATCTTACAAAGACAAATCCAACATTACAAATGCAAAATACGACAAATCCAAAATTACAAATATAAAATACCGACATGTCCAAAAAATATATGATCAATTCACTACATCTTCAATATCCATTAATTTCCTTCAACTCTTCATTCATTGACATTGAAATATATTCCCTAAATAAATAACAAAAATAATAATAAAATAAATTGTTATATTAGTTTATTCGATGCAAAACGACAAATTTAACAATCTTACCTCCTTTCCCTCGTCACCCAACAAAGAAAAACAAAATAAAGGTAATAAGCAAAAATTGGAGATTTAAATTTCATTTGTTTCTCGTTACAATCAATTGCAGAATTGGCGGTATTATTAACCGTATTTGAATAATTGGGTTGATTCGGCTATGAATATATGATTACATAAATCAGTGAACAATTAAAGTAAGATCCCACAAATAATCTGTCAATGTTTAAGTAGAATAAGCAAAGGAAAATGCACAAATTACACATCAACATTGAACTTATATGTCAACAACTCAACATTGAACTTATCAGATTCAGTAACGTCTCTCATACATTATCCATTGAACTTATCAGGTTCAGTAACATCTCTCATACATTATCCAGTAACAAAACAATGAGATATAGAATACACAGCAACAAAACATAAATTACACAGCAACAAACTATAAATTAAACAGAAATCAGTGAGAAACAGTGAGAAACATGAGAAACAGTGACGGGAAAGGTCAAATGCTTTCATATCTGTTTCACACAAATTCGTTAGAAGTCAAACTGTGTCTGTATACAAGAAGTCAAATTCACACAAATTCATAATTTCCTCTCAATTGTTAATTGTATCAGATAGGGATATAGAGGGTAGATTCTGATTAACACTTACCGGTAATCAGGGGATGTGAAGTCACAGACCGTATACACGAATATGAACTATCGAGACTCGAAGACACAGTCGACTCACGACTGTCGTGATTCGAGAAGAATGAAGACCGGTGAAAGGATGTGGCAGGCGGAAGGGCGTCGGCGGCGGTGACAGGAAACGTCAAATGTGGGCCGTCGCCTTGTCGGCCGCGTCTTGGGTGAGAGTGGGAGAAGTCGCAGACTCGCAATCGGAGTCGGTCTCTCCCGTATCTCGTCAATCTCCACTTCTCCAGTCGGCAGTCGGCACTCGGCAGTCGTATGAATGATGAATCGTATGCGAATATGCGATTGTGAATTGTGAAGACTTGAAGATTTAATCAGTGAAGACCGAAGAAGCCTGAAGGCGGAAGCCCTAAAATTAAAATTAGATACCGTATTTCCCATTTGGCCATTTGTATTTTACATTAAATGTATATATTTTTTATATAAATATAAACGGGACCCCCACGGGAGTACGGGACGGAAATACTCACTCACGACCCCGATCCCGAAAATAAACGGGGGTTAATTTCGCCCCCGTCCATGCCCCCGATCCTGAATTTTTTTAAAAATTAGTCTCGTACGGTATCGGGATCCTAAAGGAACGGGGTCCCACGGGGGTTTTTGACATCCCTAATGAGAATTAAATTTTGGATGTGTAGGAGAGAAGCATGTTCATGTGGATTTTATTGGGGTCTTCCTTCTCGTTGGTTTGAGTAGCGAGAGTTTCACAACAAGACATTTCGCTTTTAAAACCGTCAAGTGTAAAGTGGCAAAACACAAGAATGCATGCATTGGAAATCAACATGTGTTTATACTTTATATTTTTCATATTTTATATATTTGGTTTTCTCATATTAGAGACGGTGAAGTTCCTCAAAAGAGTCAAATGGGTCATACATACTAATGTTATATCTCTTAGATCTATAAATGTTGTTTCAAAAGAATTAGTTTTGTCATCCAAAAATGGCTAACGGCACACATTGTTGTTTGTTTGCCTTTCGTCGATATATATTAACTTTTTGTCCATGTCCATGGATATATTTATAAAAATATCAGTATTTACAACAAAAACTAAGTGTGGAAAAAAATCACACTGATGTGCCCACTATATTTTTTTTAGAAGACAAACTTTCATAATTGGTCCTTGTGGTTTACAGAATATCGTACTTTGAGGACTTCCTAGCAAAAAGTACGCAACTGGTCTCTGTGGTTTGTAAAATTACATGAAAGGTCCTCCTGCCGTTAAATCTAACTTTTCAGCCGTTAGATTTCAAGGAAAAAGACTATTTTGCCCTTGTACCAATATTGCAATAAACTACAAACCTCAATGACCATTTCTGTAATTTTATAAATTTGAAATTTTGTATATATATAAATTATAAATATAAATTATATATATATATATATATATATATATAATATATATATATATATATATATATATATATTCATCAACTTGATAATTTTTTTTTATCTTTTTAACATTTTGTTTTCTATTTTTATTTTATAATTTTAGTTATTTATGGTTTTTAATGTTTTTATTTATTTTGATTCAAATAAATAAACTTAAATTCGATAAACCATATCGAAACTTTTTTTTCTTAATTATGAAATGAAATGTTAATGTTTTTTTTTGTTTTTTTAATTTTATGTTGTTACGGTTTATTTTTTACTTTGATGCTCCATAGTTTATACCGTTAGCAACTTCATGTTTGCATTTATCATTATCATTATTTTACCTTTTGTTTTTTTTTTATATATATATTTAGTTATTTATTATTATTCTATTGTTTTTATTTATTTTGATTAAAGTAATGAAAAATAGAAAAACAAAAAAACAAAAACTCAAACACCAAAGTTGTAAAATACTATAATATATTAATACATTTTACACTTTTCATATTTTTTGGTATTTTTCGCATTTTTCTTATTAATTTTGTTTATTTATGGTTTTCGTAACTTTTTTTTTATTTTGATTTGTGTAAATAAAAAAGTTATGTTTATTTTCTTTATTTATGTAAATATAACTATTTTATTTACGCGAATCAAAATAAAAAAAAAGTTACAAAAACCATAAATAACCAAAATTATAAAAAAAAACTAAAAAAACTCAAACACCAAATTTGTAATATACTCTAATATATTCATACATTTTACACTTTTTAGAAAATATCAAAAAAAAGTTATCAAGTTGATGAAAAATAAAACGAAACAACGAAAAAAAATAAAAATAGGAAATAATTAAAAAATAATATGAAAAAAATTTAAAAAATAATACAAAAAAATTTAAAAAAAATACGAAAAAACCAACAAAAGATGAAAATGTAAAATGTATTAATATATTAGAGTATATTAGAATTTGGTGTTTGAGTTTTTGTTTTTTTTTCTATTTTTCATTACTTGAATCAAAATAAATAAAAACAATAGAAGAATAATAAATAATTAAAATAATAACAAAAATAGAAAACAAAAGGTCAAATAATAATAATGATAAATGCAAACATAAAGTTCATAACACTATTAACTATTAAATATCAAAAAAAAAAAACATGAACAGTAACGGCATAAAAAAATAAAAAAATAAAAAAACATTAATGTTTCAATTCACAAATAAGAAAAATTAAAGAAAAAATAATTTCAACATGGTTTATAGAATTTAAGTTTATTTACTTGATTCAAAATAAATAAAAATATAACAAAAAACCATAAATAACTAAAACTATAAAATAAAAATAGAAAACAAAATGTCAAAAAGATAAAAAAAATTATCAAATTGTTGAAATTATATATATACATATATATATATAATTTTTATTTATAATTTATATATATACAAAATGCGAAATTTATATATATATATATATATATATATATATATATATATATATAACGGATGAAAAGTTAGATTTAACGGCAGAAGTACCTTTCATGTAATTTTACAAACAACAGGATCAGTCGCGTGATTTTTTGCTAGGAAGTCCTCAAAGTGCGATATTTTGTAAACCATAGGGACCAATTGTGAAATTTTGTCTCTTTAGAAACACTTTTTTTGGTTATTTTTTGGTATTTGAATTAGTACGTTGGTTGTTGTTGAGAATTTTTTTTTAAAGACATTAAAAATAGCAAAAAGCAAACATCATGTTGAAATTTGGAAGTGCTCCATGTTTTTTTGTGTTCTCGTCGATGTATTGTCAAATGGGTACTACGAACTTTATTGTCTTTTGTCGATAGTTGATGATACGCTGCCAAAATCGGCTTAAAATCTTTCTGAAACTTTTCTTTTGTAATATTTAAAGAAAAAACAAACAAAAACAAAAAGCGAATGCGAGGGGATGTATTTGACTTGATGAAGCATTTGTCAACTGGATTGCAATGAAAATAATCAACAATTAAAGATAAGTTAAAGGTACAAATTAGTAAACAAAGAACAAGAAGGAAAATTTTGCACCTTCTTAATTAGGGTTAGGCATGTAACAAGGGGATTAGTTAGGGTTTCTTCAACTTCACCCCAATTTCAATTTCCAAAAAAAAAATCATGAGTAGAGAGATCCACCACATGAGATAGCCATCAACAGTATCGCAGCCTGCTCTTCTTCCCGTAGCTTGTTCCACCATGGCTTCCCTCTTTCATACGATGATCTCATCCTCTTCTGCTGCTTTTGTTGTTGTTTTTGATTAATTACCATCAATCGGACTTTCAACTTCAAATCTTCGTTTCGTTTGGCACCTTTCGATGTACTTCTTCCGCTTTTATCAAATCCACTCATTTGTGTCCTCCTCTTTTTGTTGTATTTGATACCGCAGGCATTGCATAGCGACTTCACACAAAATCATCAAAAATCAGTAATCAATAATCACAATGTATCAAATCATTACAATAGATCAGTCATCAGTCATCAGTCATGTCATTCGAAATCCGAATCAAAAGAGCTCAATCCTACCTTGGGACCAGAAGGTCCGCCTCTCCAGAGAGGTGTTCTAGTAGTTTGACAATCGGTACAGCATTTCTCCTGGTTTGACGATGCTAAGAGACCGTCACCGCTACTCTCGGTTAGTACTTGTTCTTCGAGTTCTTCTACTGCTGAAATAAATGATCTCTGCGAAAGAGTTGGAGTTGAATGGGTTCAAATTCAGAGAAAATAAACAAGTGTTGTTTAAAAGAAGGGTAAAACAAGGTACCTTATCATTCAGATCCATAATGACGATGATGATTCCAGCAAATACTTTTCGGAATCAAAATCTGTGAGCGTGATAATGGCGAGCATAGATATGATAGAGGGTTGGGGATCAGATAGTCATGGCTGTTGCTTGTATTATATGTGCAGCCTTTGAGTGTTATGACTTTGACTGGACAGACGAAAATTTAAAAGAAAAAGATTTGAAAAATATAATTTGGGGAAGAGAGACTGCGTGGGTGGCGCTGGTCGGCGGGACACAAAACCCTAACCACCTCTACATTTATGGCTTATTTACTAGTGTACCCCTCTCTACTCTTTAGTCATTGTTATTGGTAACTGGCGTCCTTGGGTGCCAATGGTGAGATCGAAAATTACCTTTAATTTTAAGCCCTTCCAAATTTAAGGATAAACATATAGTTATAGTAACTGTGTTGATATTTTTATAAAATAAGTTTTTATTACAGAAAATTAGCAGTTAGTTATGTACATAATGTCACGTTTAGTTGAAATCGTGAAGTAGTTTTAATTGTGAAAAAAATCTAACAAAAATCAAAATATTATCATAAATTCTATAATTTATCATCAATTTAAGGAATATATCTAAATCTAAAAAAACGTAGTATGTTTTTAATATAAGTTCAGGAAAACGTTACTTACCAAAAAGATCAAACCATAACAAACCTAATAATGATATCAACAGATTGTTGGTGTTGTTCGTCTCTTTCTGAAAACATTTTATTGTTTTGAATCTTGATATCTTGTTGAGTCATTGATAGTTAACTTTTCCTCATCTAAGTCCTCTAAGTAACTTCATGACTATAGATTAGTATCTTGTATCTCTTTAAATTTTACAAGACTTAAATGTGTTTGACTGTTTTCTCTCATATGTTAAATGCTTATTTTTATTTGAATGATTTATTTATGAATTTAAATTTAAGTTGATGAATAATAAAGTAAAGAAAATCTAAACAATGTTTTTGGCTTGTCTGTTAGTATAATATACTGTCTTGTAAATTGTGTTTATCACTCTATCTTCATGTTTTATTGTTTTAGATTTTTAATGTTTAGTATAGATGGGTTTGAATAAGACATTAGTGGATTTTAAGATGGGTGTGGGGAGGGGGAGGGGGTAATGGGCTTCCCATCTTGTGTAGATAAAGACATAGCCACCTTGAATGGTAATGATGATGACAAAGAATATATTCTAGTGAACGTCTATGATTCTAGAAACT